GTGCTCTAGTTACAGTGAGCATCTGGCTCTGATGTGAGGGTGAGGGCTAGAATGAGTGACATGTTTAAGGTGAGTTTTGGGTAATGTCATTGTTCACTGTGAGGGTTCAAGTCTATGGGCCAGGGCGAGGGCTGGGTTTAGGGATTCGCTAAGGTGTACGTGTAGGATAGGGTTATGGTTACATTTATTATTCAGCTCTGATGTGAGTGGCACAGCGAGATTGAATTACAGTGTTACAGTGAGACATGAATGACATAGATATTCATGGTAGTGGTCTGTTCCCAGTGTCAGGGCTAGGGTTAGGGTTCAGTGTTTGGGAAGGTGTACAGGGCTAATAGGTTATCCATTACAGTTAGGGTCCGGGTGTGATGTGAGGGTGAGTGCCAGATTGTGTCCCATGTTTGCGATTTGGTGGGGCTGACACAAAAATAATGGTGAGGGTCAGGTCCAGGGGCCAGGGCTAGGGTTCTGTTTAAGTGTTTGGTAACGTGTACGGGCAGGATTGTGCTATGGTTACAGTAAGGATTTGTCTCTGATGTGAGGGTGAGGGTGAGATGGAGCAACACTTTTACGGTGAGTTGTGGGTTATGTCAATATTGACGAATGCAGGACAGGTCCAGGGGCCAGGGCTAGGGTTAGGGTTAAGTGTTCAGTAATGGGTACAGGTAGGATAGCACTATGGTTACATTGTGAATTTGGCTCTGATGTGAGGGTGAGGGCAAGATTGAGCAACAGGTTTATGGTGAGTTGTCGGTGATGTCAATGTTGACCATGAGGGTTCACGTCCAATGGCCAGGGTTAGGGTTAGGTTTAGGGGTTCGGTAAATTGTACAGGCAGGACAGTTTTATGGTTACATTTAGGATTCAGCTCTTATGTGAGGGTGACAGTGAGATGGAATTACATTGTTACAGTGAGATATGGGTGATGTCAATATTCATGGTAGGGGTCTGTTCAAAGAGTTAGGGCAAGGCTTAGAGTTAGCTGTTTGGAAAAGTGTACAGGGCTCATATGGTTTTGGTTAGAGTTAGCGTCTGGCTGCGGTGTGAGGGTGACTGCGAGATTGTGCCTCAGGTTTACGATTTGGTGGGGCTGACACGAAAATGATGCTGAGGGGTCAGGTCCCGGGACCAGGGCTAGGGTTATGGTTGAGTGTTTGGTACAGGCAGAATAGTACTACGGTTACAGTGAAGATCTGGCTCTGATGTGAGGGTGAGAGCGATATTAAGCGACAGGTTTATGGTCAGTGGTGGGTGACGTCAATGTTGATCGTGAGGTGTCAGGACCAGGGGCCAGGGCTAGTGTTAGGATTAGGGTTTTGGTAAGGTGTATGGGCAGGATAGGGTTACGGTTACATTTGTTATTCGGCTCTCATGTGAGGGCGAGTGAGAGATTGAATTAGTGTTACAGTGAGAAATGGGTGCCGTCAATATTCATGGTAGGGGTCTGTTCCAAGAGTCAGGGCTTAGGGTTAGAGTTAGATGTTTGGGATGCTGTATGGGGCTGATAGGCTTTCGGTTCAAGTTAGGGTCTGGCTGTGATGTGAGGTTGAGTGTGAGATTCTGTCTCAGGTTTGCAATTTGGTGGGTCTGACATGAAAATGATGGTGAGGTGTCAGATCCAGGGGCCATGGATAGGGTTAGGATAAAGTGTTTCGTAATGGATATGGGTAGGATAGTGCTATGGTTACTGTGAGGATCTGGCTCTGATGTGACAGTGAAGCCAAAATTGAGTGCCAGGTTTATGGTGAGTCGTGGGTGATGTCGATGTTGACCATGAGGGTTCAGGTCAAGGGGCCAGGACTAGTGTTAGGGTTAGTGGTTCAGTAAGTTTTATGGGCGGGATAGGTTTATGGTTACACTGAGGATATGGCTCTGATGTGAGGGCGACACCGTGATTGAGCTGCAGGCTTATAGTGAGGTGTGGGTGATGTTGATGTTGACCATGAGGGTTCTGGTCCATGTGCATGGCCAGGTTTAGGGTTAGGTGTTCTGTAAGATCTACGGGATGGATAGAATTACAGTTAGAGTTTGAGTCCGGCTCTGATGGGAGGACAAGTGTGGGCATTTATTTCAGGGTTACAGTGAAGCGTGGCTTTTTTCGATGGTGACTGTGAGGGGTCAGACTGAGTGTCCTGGGGTAGGCTTAGGGTTTGTTGTTCAGCAAGGTGTATGGGGAGGATAGGATTATGTTTACATTTAGGATCCGGCTCTGATGTGAGGGTGACAGTGAGATTGAGCTACAGTGTTACCATGAGGCATAGGTGATGTCGATGGTGATGACAGGGGTCTGGTCCAAGAGCCAGGGCTAGGGTAAGGGTTAGGTGTTTGGGAAGGTGTACAGAGGGGAGAGATTTTCGGTAAGACTTAGGGTACAGCTGTGATGTGAGGGTGAGTACGATTGTTTCAGGTTTTCGTTTTGACTGGGGTGATACTGAAACAAATGGTGAGGTGTCAGGTGAAGGGGCCAGGGCTAGGTTTATGGTTAGGAGTTTGATAAGGTGTAGGGGCAGGATTGTGTACAGTTACAGTTAGGAACCAGCTCTGGTGTGACGTTGAGGGTGAGACTGGGGTTCAGGTTTAGGTGGAGGCATGGTGGAAGGTTGAAGGTGACCATGAGGGCTCAGGTGCCAAAGGTAAGCTACAGTTAGGGTTAGGTGCTTGGTAAGGTGTACTGGGAGGAAAGGGTTTGGTTACATTTAGGGCCAGGCTCTGATGTGATGGTGAGGGAGGGATTGAACTTCAGGCTAACAGTGAAGTGCGGGGCATGTCAATGGTGACGGTAGGGGTCTGGACCACAAGCCAGGGCTAGGGTTAGGGTTAGGCATTTGGGAAGTTGTACAGGGAGGATAGGTTTACATTTACAGTTAGGATACGGCTGTGATGTGAGCACGAGGGTAAGATAGAGGTTCAGTGTTACTGTGTGGCATTGGTGATGTCCATGGTGACCATGAGGGATGAGGTCCAAGGACCAGGGCTAGGGTTAGGGTTAGGAGTCCGATAAGGTGAATGGTCAGGATAGTATCACATTTACAGTTAGGAACTGGCTTTAATGTGAGGGTGAAGCAAGTTTCAGATTCAGGATTATGCGGAGGTGTGGTAGACATCGATGCTGACCGTTAGGGACAAGGTGCAAGGTCAGGGCTAGGGTTAGGGTTAGGTGTTCGGTAAGGTTACTTGGTAGAATCTGTTGCAGTTAGAGTTAGGATCTGGCTCTGATGTGAGGACGAGGGCAAGACTGAGGTTCAGATTTATGGTGAGGCATGGGGGACGTTGATGATGTCAGTCAGGTGTCAGGTCCAGGGGCCCTCAGCTAGGGTTAGGTTTAGTGTTCGGTAATGTGTACAGGCAGGATAGGGTTATGATTACATTGAGGATCCGGCTCAGATGTGATGGTAATGCAGTGATTGAGCTGCAGGTTTACGGTGAGGTGTGGGTGATGTTGATGTTGACCATGAGGGGTCAGGCTTAAGGGCATGGCTAGGGTTAGGGATAGCTCTTCCATAAGGTGCATGGGGCAGACAGACTTATGGTTAGAGATAGGGTCCGGCTCTGATGTGAGGGTGAGTGCAGGTATGAACTTCAGGGTTACAGTGAAGCATGGCTGTTGTCGATGGTGTTTGGTAATGTGTACGGGCAGGATAGGGTTACAGTTACACTGAGAATATGGCTCACTTCCTCCACTCTGAGTGACAACTGTCATGGTGACACACTGACCTTCAGACAGCGACTGAGCTGCCAAAATTTTCTGTTCAGCTTGAAGCTGATCAGTAGCCCTTGGCTTAAGGATGAGTAAGAGCTTAAAGACAGAGGGCAGATCCTTCAGAGGCCACCGGGGCTGTTTACAGAGCACACTGAACAGACACAGTGGCAGAGTTTTCTCTTTTGGGAGCAGAGCAATAGTTCTTCCATTATTGTACTGTCCGCTCACCAAAGACCAAGACAGGTCTCTCTCTCTCCTTCACAGAAGATCTGCCATGAGGTAGTCCAGTGTCTGGTAAATTTTGAAAGACACCTCAGGGTGAGCATAATACACCCTGATTGAGGGCGACACCATGATTGAGCTGCAGGTTTACGGTGAGGTGTGGGTGATGATGTTGACTGTGAGGGATTGGGTCCAAGGGCAGGGCTAGGGTTAGGATTATGTGTTCCATAGGTGTATGGGGCAGATAGCATTATGGTTAGAGTTAGGGTCTGGCTCTGACATGAGGCTGAGTGTGGGTATGAACTTCAGGGTTACAGTGAAGCATTGCTGTTGTCGATGGTGACAGTAAGTGGTCAGGTCGAGTGGCCTGGGCTAGGGTTAAGGTTTGGTGTTCGGCTAGGTGTATGGCAGGATAGGGGTATGGTTACATTTAGGATCCAGCTGTGATGTGAGGGCAACAGCGAGATTGAGCTACAGTGTTACTGTGAGGCATAGGTGAAGTCAATGGTGATGGTAGGCGTCTGGTCCAAGAGCCAGGGCTAGGCTGAGGGTTAGGTGTTCGTGAAGGTGTACAGGGGGGAGAGGTTTTCGGTTAGAGTTAGGGTCTGGCTGTGATGTGAGGGAGAGTACGAGATTATGTTTCAGGTTTTCAATGGGCTGACATTGAAATGGATGGTGAGGTGTCAAGTCAAGGGGCCAGAGATAAGTTTATGGTTAGGAGTTTGTTAAAGTGTACGGGCAGGATTGTGTACAGTTACAGTTAGGAACCAGCTCCTGTGTGATGGCGAGGGTGAGATTGAGGTTAAGGTTTATGGGGAGGCATGGTGGAATGTCGAAGGTAACCATGAGGGCTCAGGTGCCAAAGCTGTGCTACAGTTAGGGTTAGGTGTTCGGTAAGGTGTACTGGGAGGAAAGGGTTTTGGATACATTTATGGTGAGGCTCTGAAGTGAGGGCGAGGGAGAGATTGAACTTCAGGCTTACACTGAAGCATGTGTCACGTCGAACAATAAGGATTATGAAGAGCCAATTGTTAAATTAAGAATTATGTAAAAAAAGTCAAGGAGCTATATACTCATAAAATATTAAAGCATAATTTCATATTGTTTAATGCAAGTAACCTACACATTATGGAACAGTACATGCAGACAGCATAAATTCTGAATCCCCTATTTTATAGCTAGTATTACATGAATGTGCCACATACATAAATTTCAAAACATAAAGGATTATGTTCTCCCTACTTTTTAATTTTTCTATTCATTAATCAGAAATTAGGCACTTTAATCTAAAAATGCACTTTTTAAAAAATGTATTTTAGATTTTTCTGGGTAACTCACTCTAAAATGAATAAAGTTCACCTTAGGAACAAAATCAACAAATCCAATCCACTGATATACTGAGTCAACCACTCCATAAGTGGTATATGACCTAGAAAAAAAATTAATGCAACTCTGAAAGTATCTAAAATACTCTGAATAACCTTATTCATATGAACAATCAACCCATTTATTCATATAAAAGACATGAAATATACTTCCATACCATTAAAAAATATTTTGTTCTATATTCGGGGGGGGGACCTTCCTTAAAATCTAAGACTCAAAATATGAATATTTTAAAAATATGGGCATAATATGACAAATTCCCAGTGTGCTAAGTTCTCTGTGGGAATGACTAAGAGCCAGTTTTGGAGGAGAAATGTTTGCTGTACCAAGATTAATAACTTCAGATATTGAGAGAGAATCTCAAGACTAAACTGGAAAAATTTTAATTGGCTGTCATAGTAATGTCATCTTTTCAATCAGTATTCATTCAAGGAAAGAATGCTCTACTCCATAAAAAGATTTTTTTTAATTCATTCAGTCTCTCTATTGTAACTTATAGGACCAATAGTAAAACACTTCTCAGTGTCAATTCATTTAAATGCTTAATAATGATACTCAGCCATTACAGTTTCTTTGATTCAAGTACATAAGCAAATGCACAAGCAATAATGTAAGCAGTACATATTAAACACCACTACTGCCTAAACTTGATTAAACAATGAATAATTTTAATACTAAAAATACATTCTCAGGCAAAATTAAGTTTGTTGGCACTAGGAATTATATATTCTTGCATGTACGGGCCACAAAGGTGTTGGCTAAAATGTATATTTTCAAATGCAAAGCATAAAAACAAAGCTTTGAGAATGATTCTGGACATTACAGACGGCGTCAAGACAAGAAAATCAACTAACTCCCAAGTACTGGCTTCAACTCAAGCAATATTTCTGTGAAATATACAACATTTCACAACTTAAGTCATTACCTAAACAATATAAAAAGCTGCTTTGGATACTACAGAGGGATTCAATGACAGAACTTCTGTGTAATACAGTAAAGTCATTCTTTACCGGATTGTTTTTTCCTCCCTGAGTCCATATCCGCCAATTCTTTATGTGTTACAAAATCAATAGTTACCTTAAATATTTCATAGCACACTCAAATTGTACATTTATGGTCCCTACTGTACTTTGGCTTCCAACAGGCTGCTGGACATAACATGGCCATGACTACTTACACAACTACTAGTATGCCTCAGTGCATCAGCTCCAAGATAGGCCATTAAAAGCTCAGTGCGGCGAATGAGTAACTGCATAAGGTCTTCCGCCAAACTGTCTATACTGGAATAGCGAACCTTCTCAAAATCAAAAATGTCTTTAAGAAAGAAAAGAACTTGATTCTGGAAAATGAACACACAAAAAAATGGGCACTCATTAGACCAAAATTACTTTAAATCTAAACAGTTACTAATGTTGTAGTAAGCACTGAATTAGGAATCAGAACCCCTGAGTTACAGAGCTAGTTTCTTATCTCATTGGAAAGGGGTCCTTGAACAAGTGATTAAACCTTTCTTGGGTCTCCTTTTCTTTTTCTGTAAAGTAAGGAATACTACTACTTGTCTTTTTTTACTACTCAAGGGCTGATGTAATGATCAAAAATAATCTGTGGGAAATGCATGTAAACCCCAAAGCACGGTAAATAAATGTAAGGTCCTATTATTAGTCCTTTCCCAATAACTGAAGTTTTCAATGTTACTTCTGAGCCCTGGTGCTACTTTCAAACTTTTAAAAGAGTAAACTATTTCTAATACTTACAGTTTTAAATGTATATTTATCTGTACATAAAAAGAACTTTAAGACACATGAAAAATAAAAGTAATTTCAGGTGTCATATCAGCACAAGATTGTGAAGGGTATTTCATTTTAGTAAGTTAATGCTTATGCTGAAACTCTCATCTTGAAGAAGCTGTACAGTTGACCCTTGAACAACATAGGTTTGAACAGTGCAGGTCCACTTATGTGCACATTATTCTCAACAAATGTACTGGAAAATGTTTGTGTTGATTGGTGACAATCTGAAAAAACATTTTCTTTCCTCTAGCTTACTTTATTATAAGAATACAAATTCTACCATATATATAAAGAAACAAATCCTACCATTTGCAACAACATGGATGGAGCTGGAAGATATTATGCTCAGTGAAATAAGCCAGGCGAAGAAACACAAGTACCAAATGATTTCCTTCATTTGTGGAGTAAAACAACAAAGCAAAACTGAAGGAAAAAAACAGCAGTGGACTCAGAGACTCCAAGAAGGGACTAGTGGTTACCAAAGGGGAGGGGTGGGGGAGGGCAGGTGGAGAGGGAGGGTGAAGGGGATTCAGGGGTATTATGATTGGCACACATGGGGTGGGGGATCATGGGGAGGACAGTGGAGTACAGAGAAGGCAAATAGTGAGTCTGTGGCATCTTTCTATACTGATGGGCAGTGACTGCAATGGAGCATGCAGGGGAACAAAATAATATGGGTGAATGTAGTAACCAGATTGTTTTTTCATGTGAAACCCTTATAACTGTGTATATCAATAATACCTTCATAAAAAAAAGAAAACTGCATATAATACATAATACATATTAACAAAATATGTGTTAATGGATTGTTTAAGTTAACAGTAAGGATTCTGGGCAGCAATAAGCTATTAGTAGTTAACTTTTTGTTGCATAAAAAGTTATAGGTAGACTTTTAATTGCACAGGGCATGAGCACTTCTAGTCCCCATGTTGTTTATGGTTCAACTGTATACCACTAAGTATTAAGTCTCATGCTGTAATGCTATAATGGGGAAAAAAAAAGTAATTCCAAAGTGCAAAAAACAGGAATATGTAATTTCTATCATATAGAAACCAAATGTTAAGAAGTCCTAAGAAGGCAAGACCTCACAGATTCACTGGATTTTATATCTGGAAAAGTTGTTAGCAATCAACCTGGGCCTCTCCATTTTGCAGATAAGAAAAGGAGGACAAAGCACAATTTGGTGGACTGCTCAATTAAAGACAGAGTTAACTCCCAGTCCAAATTTTCCCACTAAACACATAACTTACATTTCAGAGGTCAAGTAAACTAGTAAAAAAATTAATGAGTTTTGAATGACAGTAAAATGAACATTTCCTAAACATGTACATAAATGCTATATTAATAGCACATAAACATAATAATCTAATTGTTTTTAATGGGGGTATAGTTAAACACCCAAACTTTCAAGCATCAAAAACTTTCTAATTCACATGTTATGTTTACTTTCATTTGCTCCTTGAAAGTCAGCCTAAATTCAAGACTATTAAATAGCAACACTTCTTTCTTGGCATTATGCCAGGCAGAAAACTACAATGAGCTATAACTTGTATTTTGCCAAATTTAAATTACTGATATTAGCATACAACTTAAACTCCCATGTTATTTCTCACTACTGGGATTTTACCATTCATTTTACCTTGAACCACATTTTTAAATTGCCACATGTACAATAAGACAGATATTATTTATTTTATAAATTCCCAAAGTGTCCCCAGGCAGGAAGAACAAACTGTCTATAGCAATCTGATGGTAACATTGTAACACCATACAAGAACATCCATCTGTTACAGACTTGTTGAATCTACTCCAGTATATAAAGCGGCAAATCTATACATTGTTCTACTGGCATTTAAACAAAGAAGTTAGGTGACTTTTAAACTTCACCTTTAAATAAATTCTTTCTTTTACAAAAGCTAAAAGAAAACAATCAAATCTTATCCACCTTTTGATTTGGAAAAAAGAAACGATTCAATGACTGAACATACCTTAAAGAAGCAACATAAATCATACAGAGAATTCCTTGGACCCAAGAAGCCCCAGGCAAGGACAGGGCTGATGTGCTCACAAATGGCATAAAAATGGGCAAAAAATCCATCAGACATCTGTTGGGAAGTAAAAGAGAATCGAGTTATTTTTATCCACTTGAATTTGTTTTTGCTAGAGAAACTGAAATTGCTATCCACCACGTAACCAGCTCTTTTTGAGGGTAGACTAAGGGTTAATGATGAATCAGACTGATAAGAAAGTTAACAACAGACTTACAAGTGACTTTTAGAGTCACCAAATGTTTTAAGCAGATTTCATATCCTTGCCAATAGTTTCAAATGACTGAAACGTTATTTCTTAAAGGCATTTTCACCTCATAAAAATACTGCATTAAAAAACAATCATATCAGTGTAATAATCAGGCAATAACAAGAACACTATGGTGTTCCTTAGCAGTACAATATTTAGGATTAATGAGACTACCAGTTTCAGCTATTAAAAAGTTCTATTCAATCATTCAGTTTATCTGAAAAAGACTAAAATGATTTTTAAATGATTAAGCACAAAAATATGCTTACTAGATTACTACCTTTTAGTTAAGGAATCAGGTATTACTGACGTATTTAACTGTGTAATTGCATCTTCTTATGAAATATTAATACATACAGTTGTGATTTAGGAAACTAAGTTTATTAATAACCTTCTGAATTTCCCTTGTTAAATACTATCCTGTGGGATTTATCAGACAGCATTAACCACAGCTCACTTTGTCTTAAGATTCTGTCTCTTGGACAGATTATTTTCTATTTTATAGTCTCCAAGACATCTTCTAAACCTACATTTAAAAAATATGTATTACAGCAACAGTTGCTATTTAATGAGTACCCATTACATTCCAGATGATGTGCTCAATTCTATTTGATAAAACTGTCCTGAAAAAATAGGTCATATTAACATCATTTTAACATGTAAAAGGTGACATGGCTTTAAGTACCTGTCCTAAATCACACATAGCTCACTAGCGAAGGCCAAAAAGTTATCAGAGACGCGCTGAGGTTATTATTCTAGTCTAGATGTTCTGTATATTATTAAAATTCTAAATCCCATACAGACTCTAACTGTATTATGAGTTTGGACAGGTAAGAAAGTATGGGCTGAAGTAGAAGAAATAAGCTTCACCACAGAATAATGTCAGCTGAACTCAACAGTAGGTGAGATTTATTTAAGTGTAGAGGATAGAGCTATGGCATTGCAGGTAAAGGAACTAGTCCCCCAAGGGGTGAGACCCACAGGTATCTGTGGATACAGAAAGATAGTTTAAGGCACAAGATTTCTCTTAAGAGATAAGAAAGTTAAATAAACATTATTATCATTATTATTATTATAGAAATTCTCACTAAACTTTTTTTATATTTACTCTTAACTTTATGTTTAAATTAAACTTGTTGATGTTATTTCATTTCATTTTTAGAACAGCCCTATGAGGCAGGCATTAACTCCATTTTACAAATAGAAAAACAGAAGGTCATCTGACAGTAACTTGCTCTTGATCATACTAGTTAGTGTGGAGAATCAAAGCCAAGTCTGCAAGTCTGTTCCTTCTCAAATATTAGAGTTTATAATAATCATCTGGGGAGCTTGTTTAATACAAATGGTGTCTGGAATCATTTTAAACAAGAATTACTCAAATATATGGTCTCCAGAATATTTTCAGCAAGCACCTTCTGAAGATGCTCTGAGGACTATGCTTTGGAAACAATGCATTTGGCAACACTATCTCCAAGTTAGAAGACTGGAGTGAGAAATGTAGATATGATAAAATGCTTCAAGTCAGTAGGAAAATAGTAAAATACAATACAATATAATAAAATAACATTTGCATAATTCACTGTGCCAAACACTGTTCTAAACACTTTATTTAAGCCTCAAAAAAACCCCATGAGGTAGATACTATGTTCGTTTTTGGAGATGAGGAAACTAAGACATAAAGAGGTCAAGCAACTTGCCAGAGGTCATGGCTACTGAGTGGCATCTGAAACGAGGCAGTCTCACTCCAGAGTCCATGCCCTGTACCACGGGAGGGTGAAAGCAGTGTGCAGGGGGTGAGAAGAGTTGGAGGCTGGGGAACATGGAGACAGGATATAAATTTTGAGACTTTTTTGGAAGGGGCTCTCAGTTGATAAAACAGCTATGAGAATCAAATCATTATTTCTGAATTGGATTACATGAAGTGGGATCTACTATATTAAACAACTACTTTAAATCTTAAAATATCATTAAGCGAAAGAGGAAACAAAAAATCACAACCTCTATCAGAGCTGTTTCCAACCCTAAACCCTCTCCCATTTAGTAGAGACCCCACGCATACCTCACTACTTGTTACTGAATTACACAGAATTTGTTAAGGAAGAGGGAGAAGGAATTCAAGAAAGGCGATGCTGACCCAATGTCATCTAGCTTGAGGGACAGCTCCTATGAGCTGCCATTCCCACATGGGAACTGACTCAGAAACTTCTCTGACAGAAGCCTTAAATTACTTAACAAAGAAGTTCAAGGCCTAAGGAATTTTACCTTCATCTGTTGTCTTTTCTGTTTCAGCACTGACCAACAACTTGAAGTCACTGCCTAAACATGCAGAGGAGAAAAAGCAAGATTTAAATGTATAACTATCTAAACTTTCCATTTAGAAAAGAGTGAATTTTGTGAGAAATTCAAAGTGTATGGATCTAAAATGTTCAGAACATTAACTATGAACAAGAACTAGTCCAGATTCCTTCAATTGTTTATAAATACTAATGAACAGGTGTTTTGTTTTCACAAATTTAACAATTAAATACAAAACCACCAAAGGAAAAAGGCTGAACTCTGGTATCAATAAACTCGGCAATTATAATTCAACTCTTAGAGTTCTTAAATTATTTTCCTATAGGAAAACTAGGAATGTGTACACAGATGCACATATGCAATAAATTTTTTATGCATAACCATGAAGATAAAGTAGTATTTCTTTTCTTCAAGAATAATACTGCTAGAAATAGTTGTGGGCAGAGCTAACAGTTTTTTTCAAATAAAAAACTAACAAATACAATGATAATGATAGGAACCAAGACACCCAAGCAGATCCTGAGAAAATCTGACCCTACTCTGGCGTGACCCAACTCTGATCAAGGCCACTTCACCAAATCAGTTATAGAAACAGAGAATATGTACCGTTTATGGTTTAAACACACAGCGAAGGAAACAGAGACTTATTAAAAATGCTTTAAAATTTAGTATCAGGAATTTCAAAGGAACTATGAAAAGGCCAACTGGAACATTTTTAAAAAGGCATTTAAACTTCACCATGAATGCCTCTCTCTCCTACTTCTGGGTACACATTTAAAGCCCAGCCAAAAAAACAATGAAAACATTCAAAGCTGAGAATATAGTTTAAACCTATTTGATTTTCACACATGCCTATTTTTTTCTCTCTCCTAATTTTTGATAATACTTGGGAACATGAATCTCCTTTTCTCTAAAAATACATATTATCTTATTATTGCAATTGCTGTGTTTCAGTGCAGTCATAGAGCCATTTCAATCACAAACAACTTTTTGTTAGGCCTAAACTAAAGCCTGAGTTTTTGGAGATCTGCAGAAATACTGAGTCCTCCAGTTCAAGGTAGAGACAGAGTCAAAAGGGGAATTTTGCTGGAAGATGTTATGTATTATACACATCTGGTCCTAATATCAAAGATGAGCTCAGTTCCCACACTAGTCATTCTACAGGCAGGTATATATGTAAATGTTATTTATCTTCCCAGCTCTGATGATTTTTCATCAAACTGAAATGGTTGAGAAAAGTAATCCACCACTTACAGTTTCTTTGAAGGAGGAGTTTAGCCAGCGGTTATTTACTACATTTTGTATGGATGTGGGTGGGTTTTCTAAATCTTCAAAGGAATCCATTAATATAAAATCCAGAACAACATCGTAAAAATTTAGATTTTTCACCTGTATTAAATTGAAAGTTAAAACATAAATTATTATTACACAGAGCTGAAAAAGTAAAGTCTGAACCAGAGATTCATAAACAGCAGAATATTCTAGTTGAATCAGATTAAGTCTCTGACAAAAGAAGAGGAAATGGAAAGACAAATATGAAAACAACTCACCACCAGAAATTATAATTTACACGATAGCTCTTCTTTCCTGGATCCCTCTCTCCACTCTATTCTAGGGGCTCTGTGTTCATGCTTTTATTGTGCTCATTCTGCTTTGTCATTCAGTTACTGGTATATCCCCCTGCCTTCCCGCTCCTGGTCAAGAGCCTCTTGCTCTTCATTCATTCATGCATATTGTGTTGTCATATATGCTATAGCAGGGACTCAAACTTCTACAGTAAGAAAACTAGATGCTTAGAGTTTAGTGGGGAAAAATAGACAGCAACAAATAATCCCACAAATACACAATCACAAACTGTGATAAGCCAGTAAAGGAAAAAGTTCATGGTACTATGAAAGCTGATGAAGATTCTAATCTAGACTGGATGTCAGAGAGGGCTTTCTTCAGGAAGTGAGGCACCCCAGGTAGAGGAAATACTTGTCAAAGACTTTAAGGTAAGAAAGAACTTGGTGGCAGTGAGTCAAAGAAAACCGCTACAAATGTGCTATAGCTCTCCAAAGCAGAGCACACAGGGCCAAGTACTAGAGACAAGAACAAAGGGCCAGCTCCTGTCCAGTTTATGGCACTGCTAATGATTCTGGATTTTACCCTCACAGTATTTTGGAAGGGTAGTGATGGGAGGAGATGGATGATCAGAGTTACTTTTTCTAAAGACCATTTGGCAGCAATGTGGAGATTGGAATGGAGGGTAGAGAGTAAAAATAGGGAAGGGAGGAGTAGGCAGGGCATCAGGGGACGCCAAGACTCTGAAGTAGTTCAGAGAGACGACTACAATGGGGCTCACAGGAATAGCGAAAGTTGAAGAAATTGATATTTAGGAGTTAAAACTGACAAAACTTAAAGATGAACATGATAAAGCAGGCAAGGACCAGGAGGTGTAAAGAGTGAGTGCCAGGTTTCTGGTCAGTCCAAATGAATGGATGCCAATTCCTTACCCTAGTGAGGAAATATCGAAGAAGGAAAGCTTATACCTCTATGTCTTTGCATCTACTGTCTTCTCTGCCTAGAAAGCCCATCAGCCTCTTGAAAAGTTATTCATTCTGTAAGCTTCTGTTACAACAAAATGTTCCAGGCTCATCATGCACTTTCTCTGTCCCAGTGCTAAAATAAGCCATTTCCCCAAGGCGTTGCTAAGTTCCTTTTAGTGGAGAGTGGTACTCAGAAGCCAAGATCCATGTTCCAGGAGTAATTTCCTTTGTAGTGCTGCTGCTCCTAGACTCTCAGTGAAAAGAGCTAGGAAGTATATGTATGTTTATGTATATGCAAACCTTTATATTTATTAATATATGTATCTTATAAGCTATGAATTCAGACTGATAGTTCCAGTTCTAATCCTGGCTTTTTATAACTCCCTTCTCTGACAGTGGGAAACCTGGCTCCGATTAGTCTCAGTGTATTTATTTGTTAGATCCTACGAATGTTGCCAATCCTTTGGGCCCACTGAGCTGCCCACTGTCTCATCCAAAGCCATCCTTACACAGGCCACCAGCATTGCCCTGCTAGGGCTACTCATTAACTTTTGGAAGGAAGGCAGGCAAGAAGGATGCATGGGAAAAAAGAAGGATGGAAGAAGGGACAAAGGAAGGGATTTTTAAAGAAAAATTTATTTCAATTGTTGCCCCAATTAATAAAGACTGTGGCTGCTATTGTTTAGGACTGTCAGAACCACAACCACACAATTGGTTTTACCCTTTTATCAAGGACAAGTATAGTGGCCTCAAATTATGTAAATATTATGTGTAAGTAACTAAGAGCAATAAGTATTATATAAAATTTTAACTTACTCCTCTAGCGGCAAGTTCCATTTCAGTACTCTCCCAGTGATCAGTCTGCTCTAAAAAATAGATCATTTCATCAAAAACATCTTCAAACTTCTTTGGATTCTGCAGAAGAAAACAAGCTTTACTTCTAAACTCAACTTTATAACAAGACTCAAGCCAACAAAGTAAATGAGTCACTCTTGAAGCAAGTTTGCTAGACCTTCATTCCAACATTCAACTGAATTAAAATACATTTTCAAGGTATACTATAATCATTTGGCTTAGTGTTTTGTTGTTTCAACATTCTGCAGAAGCCAAGACTAAGAACATTAATAAAATGTCATGAGCAAGCTGCTTACTAGTCAAATATGTATTTCTATTTAGGTCAGTCCTTAAGATAAAAACTTGGTTATTGCAAATACTATGGATGCTTTGATGTATTCTACCCCTTTAGGAGGAACTCTAGTTCAAATCACTGGGTTTATCCAAGAAAGTAACATGAGGTTTAAATTTGCAATTCTAAGTAGTTAATACCACCTTCATTAATCTTTCTTGCAGTTTTTAAAAAATTTGCTTTCCCATTTATCACTCATTCAGTCATCCTAAGGACCCTCTGAAATAGGACATCATAAATTTAATTAAGTGAGGGTATTGAGGTTCAAAGGGACTGAATCTGAAAATAAGGTGCTCAAATGGCTCAAGAAGGCCTCTTCTGTTTTTTTTCTCACCCTCTGGATATACCTTGCATAAAGGAAAGTGGTTCTTTAGTCTTAATGAAGTTCTTACCATTGCTTCTGCCTCAATTCAGTCCCATGATAATGAGTAAGAGTAAGAGGCAGCTCAATTTATATTTCCAGATTTCTGAGATTTATTTTATACTACTTCCTAAAACAGCATTGAGGGAGGTAAGAGAAAAGGTATTAGAAATATTAGTGGTAGCCGTAGTAGCAGATGTGATGATTCTCACCATGACTTTCACAAGCTCAATGGTAAATTGGAAATAATTTGTTTAAAACAACTTGATTGAAACAGTATGGACTTTATACACTGAAAGTAAATCAACCCAAAAAGAAATTAATGCTCCTTGGATTATTTATTTTTAATATGTGAACCTTTGCAAGTACCTATAAAATATTTTCCTTCTATTAAAAAATCTACGTATTTTAATCTTCAGTCCAATGGAAACAGCAATAATAAATAACTTGTCAACAAAACAAGTTTACCTTTCGTGCTTTCACAATTAATGCTGATAAAATTTTCCTTCCACTCTCAGCGAGGAATATCCTGTTGGCTGTTTCTGAAAGTAGTACCTGAAAGAAAAACCCATCCCCAAACAAAGAAAAAAGACTAATCAATTTCAATGGACATTTAACTTTACAGTACATCTGTACATAAATAACCCTAATATAGCCAATGCATTATTTTTGGCAGTATTTCAGCAGCCAGACCACAGAGAAAGTCCTAATATATTAAAATAAATAGAGCTTATGAAACCTATAATTAAAAAAAGATTAAAAGATAAATCTGAATTTAAATTCTGTTCCATTCCAAAACAAATGTTTCACAGCTTTAAAACACAGACAAATACAGATAATTTTTTGTTGAATGACCTTATTTCATTTTAGGAAATCAGTGATTTTACAATTGATTTTTAAATAAAAAGCAATCTAGAACATACTGATAACAAGAAAGATGATTTCTGCTCAAAGCAGCCATTTGTACACATATCCAGCATTAAAATACCCTGTTTTGACAGACTGTGGTAGACCTGGGAAGCCATGGCAGAGGACAATGGCAAATGAAGGGAAAGAGCAGGCAGGAAAAATGAACTTAGTAGACTTTATATTAATCATTGGGAATAAGAATAAAGAGCAAAGAGCTGTCCTGTTCATACGTAGCTGGATTCTATAGCATGAGGATGGGGATGAGTGGCTGGGTGAAGTCACTTAATGTTAAAAAAAAAAAATACCTGAAAAGCCTGTCGAATACAGTGAAGTTTGGCAAGAAAATCACTGTCTCCTAGGCACTCCAACATTTCAGTTCTATGTAATAAACAGGGAAGGCAACTGTTAAACTGTATTCAATATCAAGCCTACTACAAATTTGTACTCAAACAAGGCTTAACCTCAGGAACTTAACATAACACACATCTTTTCAATAGTGACAAAACACGTTAATTATTTTGAGCCTGAAAACATACTTATCCCTATTCTCATAAACATTCTAAATAAATATACAAACAGCAATAGACCTTAATATTTTTCATAAACATAAGCAGAACTGCAATTGTACCTAAGAACTCTTGAGTAAATTTTTCCTTCTTCAACTAAATGCATGGCTTCTTCATAAAAAGGGCAGTGGCAAAGAGACTCCAGACTGTAGGTGTGCCGCATTTCTCTGTGCTCTGCAAGCTGAGAATACCATGGGTTAAAACAGACTACACTAATAAAAGAAGAAAAACTGTAGAAGACAGAAAACAGAATGTTATTACCATGAAAATAACAATTTATTTAAACCATAAAAATCACTCAATAAGATTTTATAGCTAGTAAGATCAAAATACATTTTATTTCAAAATTCAGTTCTAAGAAAAGAGTAAAACTTTACAAGCTTTTGTCCAACGACTTAAATCCACAGGGTGCATAGAAAAGCAGTATCTTGCAGCTCACCAGCAAAAATAACTTACGATGAAGCATTAGGGAAAAAAAGGAGGATTTTAGCATCCAAAGGATGCTTTAAATTATTCTAACTCACACTTGTAAATGAAGTAAAACTTTCTACAAAAACCCTGAAATAATCTCAATTTAGCTGATTCCAAGGCATTCTTTTTTATATTTAGCTTTGACTATGTTTGTATAACTCAAAAATAGTCATGCACCTCTGGCTAGCTTAACAAGTCTACCAGTGGAATTCTAGTTTTTTGACAGTTCATTACAAACAACTACAAACACTACAGAGTCGCCAGATATGCAAAACACCTTTGGAGTGATTATATTTTTCAATACCAAGTGATCCATTTAAATGACACACCATAGGGTTTTTTTGTTTTTAATAGCTTTATCGACATACAATTCACATACCATAAAATTCACCCTTTTAAGTGTACAATTCAGCATATTCATATTTATATATACAACTTTAGTATATTCATTGGGTTGTGTCATCAGCATCACTTTCTAATTACTCAGTGGATATCATGGACATTGGGTTGTTTCCACTTTCTGGCTATCATGAATAAACTGAGCCATTTGTGTACAAGTTGTTTATGTTTCCAATTCTCTCCAGTTCATACGTAAGAATGGAAGGGTCAGATGGTCACTTGTCAGTCAAGGAACTGCCAAACTGGTTTACAAGTGGCTACACCATTTTCCATCCCCATTAGCAATATGTGCTGATTCAAATCTCACCACAGTCCCACCAACATTTGTTCTTGTCCATCTTTTTTATTATAGGCACCTTACTGGGTGTGAAGTGGTTTAATTTTCCTAAAGACTAATGATGTTGTGCGTCTCTCATCTCCTTATTGGCCCTTGTGTATTTTCTTTGGAGAAATGTTTATTCAAATTCTTTACCCATTTTTAAATTGTGTTGTTTGTCCATATATTATCGAGTTGTAACACATTCTTTACATATTGTAGATGTAAGTCCTTTATCAGATATGTAATTTACAAATATTTTCTCTCATTCTGCTGTCTTTTCCCTTTCTTGCTGGGTCTTTGAAGCACAAAAGTTTTTACTTTTGATATTTCTAGTGAGTCATTTTTTTCCTTTTGTCTGCCTTAACTTTATACTTCCTGCTTGTGCAGAACATCAAGGTCAGCCAGAGGGCAGAGGTTAGGGACTTCTAGAGCTTTTCCCAGACATATGCACATCGCTGCACATGCCTGTGGCCTTCTGATTCCTATGAATACGGTGGGGTTTTCAAAGTCCTTGTTAACATCTCGTTGATCAATTCTACCCTCTAAGTGTTTTGGTGACCCTCTTATTAGCCCCAACTGGTAGCACCCCCTCAGGTGGCTGTAATGGTAAACAACTGCCACTGCTTGTTTTCAACAAAGACCCTAGTATAGAACTTTTCACAGAAAGCGAGCTCTAAGTCAGGTCAAAGATGTGTCCTGAGAATGGAGCTTTGTAGGGAGCTACCAAGAAGTTCAAATGGTGACAATTCTCTAGGAATGGAGCTTTTGGGAAACTCCAAAGCCATTAACTTTCTTCCTTGGTTTTTGCAGTTACTGTACTTGTGAGGTTGTTGGTTTTCAAGATTGCTGTAAAGAGGAGGATGAGATTAGAGCAAGTTCAAATCCACGAAGTTAATTGTTCTTACGGAGATTCTGTCCATTTTCTATTTATTTTTTCTGTCAGTCTTCTTAATAAATATAAATGCTCCTTGAATTTCTCCAAGTTTTTCATTAATTTTCAGAGTTCTAAAAATTTTGATTTTGATAATTTTTGCCAGTGTTTTCACTGCCTTTGTGGAAGAAATTTTTGGAGGTTTTTACTCTACTATTGTGAAGTGTTCCTCCATGCTGTGATTCTGGCACTTTCCATGCACACAGTACTAAATGCTTTAACTTGATAAGCTCACCTGATCTTTTCAACAACTTATAAAGTAGGTACTATTAGTATCCACATTTTACATGTAAAGAAACAAATTTACATTCTGTTTCCCCAAGCCCCACAACTAAATGGTAGAATTTAAACTCAGACATATTTCAGAGCTTGTAATCTTAAATATCAAACTATATTCTCCTATCAGCTTTGTCCAAAAAGCCAAGGGGGAAGAAAAGACATTCAGCACAGTATAAAGATGTCTCCAAAAAAAAAAAAGGTAAATGGAAATGACAATATCTGACATTATATATTACCTACTTAAAGTAATATTTCCTCTCATATTTTAAGGAAAATGTATTATGCTACAAGCAAAGTGCTTTGAGGTTTTAAAAAAAAAAAACCTAACAGGTTTCAAAAGAATTTGGAAATTCTAATAGTTTAAAGTTTTATACCACTATCAAACAAATAGGATTTATGTATACCTATCAGTAGAGAAAAATCCTAAAAAGCAACTGACTAAAATTAAATTCTCTACATAAAATAATTTACATTAATAAGAGTGAACAAATCCAACGAGAGATTCCAGAGTCAGGCCTTGATTTATTGGTCTACCCTGTTTATTTGTTGGTTTCACTGAAGTGATCGTTTAATAAGTCTCTTAAAATAGGCTTGCAGCTGTGAAAATATATCACAGGAACATGTGATACTAGCAAACATTATCACCAACTCTTCTCAACAGACAATGACAAAACTCAGAAACATTTATTTAAATAATTAATATTAAATCTTTTCAAGCAAAAAGCAAATCACCGAAACGATGCCTTAAGTTCTCAGTTTAGAATACATTTTATAGAAAAAAATTTTTTAATAAAATCTTCTTAAACCGTTTTTAAAGGTTTCAGAAAAAGAATAACATTTTATTAGAGCTGCAATATTACTTCAGAAGCAGAGGTCAGTACCAGTGTAATCCCAGTATATGGGAGCATGCAATTTATCATGAAGAGGGTTCTTTGTTTTGCTAGATGAAACTTGAAATGTCCTTTCTTTCTAAATGATTCTTCCTCCAAAAGGGCATATTTCAAAAACTCATTTTAATATTTTCAAAAAGTAAAACTATTGTGGTTTACACTGAAGCACTATCCCGCCTAATCTGTTATCTCCCATAGTCCACAAGTACCATAAAAATGACCACACAAGAAATCTAGTAATAACAACAGCTTCAACAAAAACAGACAAGACCGACAAAATCCTCAGATAAAGAGCCCAGTGAAAACAAGTTTTGGGATTAGCTGAAGATTTCAAACATCCCAAAGGTGTTTGCCCTTCTTAAGGGAGCAAAATGGACTGGGCCTTATCTCCCTTGGTGAGTAATAACTTTGCTGTACGTGAAGTAGTATTTGGTAAAGGCTCTGAATGACCATTAAAGAAATGTCCAAAGTCCCAAAACTATTTCAAGTTGGGCATGAAATAAACTAAGTTACAATTTAATATAGGCTATTTTTCGTAAGTTTATATTGCCCTTTCAAATCAACCACGGAAAATTACAAATAGGTCTTTCAGTTAAAGAAAGCAGGCTGACTGAAAAGCAATATGGAGGTACCTCATAAAACTAAAAGTAGATATACCATTTGACCCAGGAATTCCACTCCTTGGAATTTACTCGAAGAATACAACTTCTCCGATTCAAAAAGACATATGCACTCCTATGTTTATTGCAGCACTTTTTATAATAGCCAAGATATAGAAGCAACCAAAGTGTCCATCAGTAGATGAATGGATAAAAAAGATTGGTACATATACAATGGAATACTATTCAGCCATAAGAAAGAAACAAATCCTACCATTTGCAACAACATGGATGGAGCTAGAGGACATTATGCTCAGTGAAATAAGCCAGGTGAAGAAAGACAAGTGCCAAATGATTTCCCTCATTTGTGGAGTATAACAATGAAGCAAAATTGAAGGAACAAAATGGCAGCAGACTCAAGAGACTCCAAGAAGTAACTAGTGGTTACCAAAGGGGTGGTGTGTGGGAGGGCAGGTGGGGAGGGAGGAAGAGGGGTATTGAGGGGTATTGTGTTTAGTACACATGGTGTGGGTGATTATGGGGAGAACAGTGTAGCACAGAGAAGGCACATAGTGGATCTGTGGCATCTTGCTGCACTGATGGACAGTGAATGCATTAGGGTAAGGGTGGGGACTTGATAATATGGGTGAATGTAGTAACCACATTGTTTTTTGATGTGAAACCTTCACAAGAGTGTATATCAATCACACCTTAATAAAACATTTTTTTAAAAAAAGAAAAAGAAAGCAGGCTGACTGCATCCATTATCTCACTATTAGAAAATTAATGAAAATGGAAATGGACCCATAATAACCACTCTTCAAGATGGCCCTCAATGATTCTCTCTTCCTGATGTTTATACCTCATTCCAGACTGGTCAAACTGGCATAATGAACAACATACGGTGGAAGTGATGGAGTATAATTCCTGAGTCTCGAGCATAACCATCCTTGCTTCATCCGACTCTCTCACATCACTGCATTCGGGGGAAGCCAGGCGCCTTGTTGAGCAACCAGGCCTGGAGTCAGCAGGCATGAGGGCAGGAGAAGAGAGTGTCTTGCCACTCGGTTTCAGCCCCAGCAAGATCACTACGGATTCAGTGTGACCAAAGAAATGACAGGAGAACATTTCTTTGGGGTGAAAAGGGTTTATTATCTGGCTTGTTTTGCCAGCGGTAGGTCGAGCACTAGCGTCTCTGCCTCCGCCCAGAGCACTAGGCCAAGCTCTCATAGCACAATAGCTTACTGCCTACAGGTGTGGAAGCAGTAGCCTAGCAACAGGCCAGTTACATCATCAGGTGGTTTAAGTTCAGTGAGGATCCTGGCCATAGGAACCCCAACTTCCCCGCAAGGAGGAAGATTGAAG